AAAAAAAAAAAAAAAAACTAAAGGTATGGCAGATGTGAGAGAGGAGGAGCCTAGAGTTCATCCCGGACACAATGAGGGGTCAGAGAAGTTTCTAGTTGGGGAGAGGCATCTGCATGGGCGCAGGGACTGGAGCCTGATGTAACCCACCATATCCAGACATGTGTCAGGCCAGGCAGCACAACCCCAGCCCCCTGGGCACTCACCCCGCTGGTGCAGCTGGGCAAAGGGCTGGAAGTGCCGAGCATAGCTGAGGGCCTCCAGCTGCTTCTCGGGGCCTCCTGCCAGGAGGCGGATGAAGTGCAGTCGGTGCAGCTTGAACTCCAGGGAGCTGTTGAGTTCCAGCAAGCGCTGCCTGTGGGAGACGGCCCATCTGGGAAGAAAGGGGCCAGTTTAGTGTAGAGCTGGTGGGGGCTAGGACCTGAGAGCCAGGACCTGAGAGGAGGGCCCCAAAAGCCTGTGTGAGGCTCTTGAGACAGGGCTGGAGGCAAGTCAAGTACATCTGGGTGAACTGAAGACCGCAGTCAAGCCCTGTGCCCTGAGAGGTCGGAGAGCAGAGTGCTGCTGGCCCACCCAAGGGCTTCCTTACTCCAGCGCAGGACCGAGGTCTTGTTCGTGCAGGGCTTCCAGGATTCGATTCAACTCTAGGAAAGGCTGCTTGAAATCCAAGTCCACGTTCAGCGTTGATTCCTACAAGGAGAGAGAGAAGAGATCCCACCACTGCAAGATGGTGTTTCCAAAGTTCTCTGCTGTGCACATAATAAAAGCTCACCCGCCAAAGACAGGCCAGAGAGAGCTGGGCTTTGCTTGAGGAGCTTGGTCTCATGCCAGCCACTTGGGCCTCTCTTGTTCCCATCTCGATCCTGGGGAGGCTGAGTAGACATGCTGACCTCCAGAGTGCGGACTGCAAACCCCACCCTACAACCGTAGCAGTGGAGACAGTCCCCAGGCTACGCACGGAGTTGCATGGCGAGAAAATTATTCCTCTTCAATCCTCCTAGTACAGTAGGGAAAATCTTTACTTTTACCACCAGTGTGTCTTTAACACCTAACAAGTACTACTTTGTCATTTCACTCATCCATCTCCCTTTTCAATAAAGGGATATGAGGCCTCAGCTCTGAACCCTGGCTGGCAACCAACTCTAACTAGAAATGAGTAACTTCTCTTTTCATCATATACGTTTTTAAAGCTACCTTCTACTTCTGGCAGAGGCGCTGATTTCCTTTAGGAAATAAACGGAATTGAAGAATGGCAGGGACTTCATATACTGAAACTAGCAGGTGAAAGGCAGAGCAGGCAGGTTGTCAGCACCTGCCCGGCCCGGCTGTACCTGGCACAGCTCCTCGGCCACGCTGAGCATGCCCTGCTGGTACAGGTGTTCCACGATGGCCATCTGCAGGATCTGCTGCTGCTGTTCCCGCGCGTCCCACACCGCATCTGACACAACACCACAGATCTCAGAGTCGAAGTTCTGACAAAGGAGGAGAGACAGGGCCTGGTGATGTGGGCACTCTTGCTGGTTCTCCTTCGAGTCCTTGTACATCCCAGCTTCAGGGTACTCCCAGCCCAGGCCTGGAGCCAGCCACGTGCTCACCCTGTCAATGGCTTTGCCCACTCGGGATACACTGCTGTGAATGTCCTTATGGTCCGAAGCCAGTTTCTGCACCGTATCTTTGATCTTCTGGCAGCATTGTGACATCACCAGAGAGAGGGTGGCTGAGAGAGGGGTCCCCTGGAGGGCTGCAGAGAAAGTGGAATAAGGACACAGAGGAGGCAGACCGGGGCACCTGCCTTGGCAGCAGACCTTAGCTCTGCCTCCTCTATTCTAAATGCCAGCCTCGTGGCCCAGGAGGCAGCCCTAAATGCCAGGGTGAAAGAACTAGCTTCTCTTCCAGGTCCTGCCACTTTTTAACTGTCTGACTTGGAACTGGTCAAATGGGAAAAGCCAGTTCACCTCTGGGAGCCTTCATTTCCTCATCTGTAAAATTATAGTGAAATGAAGATGATTTGGGACTTACTATGGACCAAGTGTTTATTTTAACTCACGGACTACAGCATGCATAGGATTCTGTTTAACTGTGAAGTTAAACATAGAGTTACCATAGGATCCAGCAATTCCACTCCTAAGTATACACCAAAATAAATAAAAACATATGTCCACACAAACACTTGTAAGTGAATATTCATAGCAGCGATATTTATAATAGCCCAAAGGTGGAAACAACCCAAATGTCCATCAATCAGTGGAAGAATATGGCACATCCATACAATGGACTGTCATTCAGCCATAGAAAGGAATGAAGTGCTGATACAGGCTACAACACAGATAAGCCTTGAAAACGTCACATTAATCAAAGAAGCCAGACACAAAAGGCTACATGTGATATGATTCCTTTTATATGAACTGTCCAAAATAGGCAGATCTATAGAGACAAAAAAGAGATTAGTGGTTGCCAGAGGCTAGGGAGAGGGAGGAATGGAGAGATAGTTAATGGGTTAGGTTTCTTCTGGGGGTGATGAAAATGTTCTGAAATTAGATAGTGGTGAAGATTGTACAATTCTGTAAATATGCTGAAAACCACTGAGTTGTACTTTATTTTTTAAATTTCCATCTATGTATGTATGTATGTATTTAAGATTTCCATCTATGTATGTATGTATGTATTTTAAGATTTCCATCTATGTATGTATGTATTTATTTTAAGATTTCCATCTATGTATGTATGTATGTATTTTAAGATTTCCATCTATGTATGTATGTATGTATTTTAAGATTTCCATCTATGTATGTATGTATGTATTTATTTTAAGATTTCCATCTATGTATGTATGTATTTAAGATTTCGTATTTATTTTAAGATTTCCATCTATGTATGTATGCATGTATTTAAGATTTCCATCTATGTATGTATGTATTTAAGATTTCCATCTATGTATGTATGTATGTATTTATTTTAAGATTTCCATCTATGTATGTATGCATGTATTTATTTTAAGATTTCCATCTATGTATGTATGTATGTATTTATTTTAAGATTTCCATCTATGTATGTATATATTTATTTTAAGATTTCCATCTATGTATGTATGTATTTATTTTAAGATTTCCATCTATGTATGTATATATTTATTTTAAGATTTCCATCTATGTATGTATGTATTTAAGATTTCCATCTATGTATGTATGTATTTATTTATTTTAAGATTTCCATCTATGTATGTATGTATTTATTTATTTTAAGATTTCCATCTATGTATGTATGTATTTAAGATTTCCATCTATGTATGTATGTATGTAAGATTTTCATCTATGTATGTATTTATTTAAGATTTTCATCTATGTATTTATTTATTTTAAGATTTTCATCTATGTATGTATGTATTTATTTATTTTAAGATTTTCATCTATGTATGTATGTATTTATTTAAGATTTTCATCTATGTATGTATTTAAAGATTTCCATCTATGTATGTATGTATGTATTTATTTAAGATTTTCATCTATGTATGTATGTATGTATTTAAGATTTTCATCTATGTATGTATGTATGTATGTATGTATTTAAGATTTTCATCTATGTATGTATGTATGTATGTATTTAAGATTTTCATCTATGTATGTATGTATGTGTGTATTTATTTTAAGACCGGGTTATGAGACTGGCTAATACTTGTATTTTTGGTAGATGGAGTTACCATGTTACCCAGACTGGTCTCGAACTCCTGGACTCAAGTGATCTACCTGCCTCAGCTTCCCAAAGTGCCGGGACTACAGACATGAGCCACCATGCCCATCCAGAGTTGTACTTTATTTATTTATTTGGATACAGAGTCTTGCTCTGTCGCTCAGGCTGGAGTGCAGTCCAGCCTTGGCGCAATCTTGGCTCACTGCAACCTCTACCTCTCAAGTTCAAGCGATTCTCCTGCCTCAGCCTCTCGAGTAGCTGGGATTACAGGTATGCGACACCACGCCCAGCTAATTTTTGTATTTTTAGTAAGAGACAGGGTTTCATCATGTTGGCCAGGCTGGTCTCAAACTCCTGACCTCAGGTGATCCACCTGCCTTAGCCTCCCAAAGTGCTACGATTACAGGCATGAGCCACTGCACCCGGCCAGAGTTGTACTTTAAAAGAGTGAGTTTAATGGTAAGTGAATTGTAGCTCAGTTTTTAAAAGACATAGGAACCAGGGACTCCCGCTGGTCAGACCTAAGACAATTTGAACATTACATTAAATAACCGTAATGGATTATAACCTATTGAATACAATAAGAATATGAGTGTGAAGTGATAATAATGAAAGGAGAAGGGAAAGCTTTACAGTTGAATGCCAACTAATAAATGTATAAAGAATGACAAAGCAGGAAAAATCACCATGTTGCAGACAGCTTAGTAATAATTCACAAAACAATCATTAATGGATAGTAAAACTAGTAGAGGCTGAAATTTGGTAAAGAGCAGGACATTTATAGGGTATCAAAGTATCTCCCCCATACCACTGGTTGTGGTTTGTTTTTTTTTTTTTTTTTTGAGACAGTCTCGTTCTGTCACCCATGCTGGAGTGCGGTGGTGCAATCTTGGCTCACTGCAACCTCTGCCTCCTGGGTTCAAGCGATTCTCATGCCTCAGCCTCCCAAGTAGCTGGGACTACAGGCATGTGCCACCATGCCTGGCTAATTGGTTTTGCCATGTTGACCAGGCTGGTCTTGACCTCCTGGGCTCGAGTGATCTGCCCGCCTCAGCCTCCCAAAGTGCTAGGATTACAGCCCACAAACTACTTAGTGATTACAAAGAAAAATTAGGAACTTTACAGTGGAAAAACTTAGCAGATACCATCTTAACTAAGTGATCAAAGTGAAGATGAGGCCAGGTGCAGTGGATCATAATCCCAGCACTTTGGGAGGCTACACAGGAGGATCACTTGAACCCAGGAGTTCAACACCACCCTGGGAGACCCCATCTCTACAATAAAAAAAAAATTAGCTGGGCGTGGTAGTGTATTGCTGTGGTCCCAGCTACTCCTGAGGCTGAGGTGGTAGGATCACTTGAGCCCAGGAGGTCAAGGCTGCAGTGAGCCAAGATCATGCCACTGCACTCCAGCATGGGCAACAAAGTGAGACCCTGTCTCCAAAATAAAAGTGAACAACAGCAATAATGCAATAAACCAACATCTTGTGTCTTCCAATGTGATGCACTGAGAAACAAATCACTTCTGAAGTACTCCTGGCAAAAATGCAAAACCTAAGTAATGAGAAAACATCAGACAACTCCAAATTGAGAGATGTTCTGCAAAATTGGCTTTAATGCTTCAAAAATACCAATGTCATGAAAGATAAAGGAAGACAGAAGAAATGTCCCAGATTAAAAAAACTAAAGATTAGACAGGAGAAACGAAATGAAGTGTGTGATCTTGGATTGGTTCCTGGACTGGAAATCAAAATGCTTTATGAAAATTCCTGGGACAGCCAGGCATGGTGGCTCACACCTGTAATCCCAGCACTTTGGGAGGCCAAGGCAGGTGGATCACCTGAGGTCAGGAGTTTGAGACCAGCCTGGCCAACGTGGCAAAACCCCATCTCTACTAAAAATACAAAAAAAAAAAAAAAAAAAATTAGCCAGGCATGGTGGTACGGGCCTTTAATCCCAGCAACTTGGGAGGCTGAAGCAGGAGAATCCCTTGAACCTGGGAGGCAGAGGTTACAGTGAGCAAAGATTGCACCATTGCACTCCAGCCTGGGCAATGAGAGCAAAACTCTGTTTCCAAAAAAAAAAAAAAAAATTCCTCGAACAATGGCAAAATTGAAATGTGAACTACATTGGCTGGGTGTGGTGGCTCACACCTGTAATCCTAGCACTTTGGGAGACTGAGGCAGGCAGATCACTTGAGGTCAGAAGTTCAAGACCAGCCTAGCCAACATGTCTGTACTAAAAAATACAAAAATCAGCTGCAGGTGGTGGCATGCGCCTTTAATCCCAGCTACTCGGGAAGCTGAGGCCGAGAATCGCTTGAACCCGGGAGGTGGAGGTTGCAGCTGAGGTGAGATCACAGCACTGCGCTCCAGCCTGAGCAACAGTGAGACTCCATCTCAAAAAAAAAACAGAAAGAAAGAAAGAAATGTGAAGTATAGTTACTAGGTAATATTATATCAATGTTTCATTTCTTGGATTTATTTATTTATTTATTTTGTTTTTTTGAGATGGAGTCTCGCTCTGTTGGCCAGGTTGGAGTGCAGTGGCGTGACCTCTGCTCACTGCAGCCCACCACCACGCCTAGCTAAGTTTTGTATTTTTAGTAGAGAAGGGGTTTTGCCATGTTGGTCAGGCTGGTCTTAAACTCCTAACCTCAGGTGATCTGTCCGCCTTGGGCTCCCGAAGTGCTGGGATTACAGGCATGAGCCACCGTGCCTGGCAATTTCTGGGTTCTAATAAGTATGCTGTTTTTATGCAAGAGAATGCCCTTGATTTTAGGAAATACACACTGAAGGCTTGGGGCTATGTTATCTACAACTTAGTTTCAAATGGTTAAAAAGTAATGATAACGGCAAATATGGCAACATATGAGCAGGTGGTGAATCCAAGTAAAGGGTATATATCAGTTCTTTATACTATTCTTGGAACTGGTCTCTAAATTTAAAATTATCTTTAAAATCTTAAAAGCTAAAAATAGGCCAGGCATGGTGGCTCACGCATATAATCCCAGCACTTAGGGAGGCTGAGGCAGGAGGATCACTTGAGCCCCTAGGAGTTCAAGACCAGCCTAGGCAACATAGACATTGTCTCCACACACACACACAAAAAATATATATATATATATATATATGTGTGTGTATATATATATAAAATGAAAAGAAAAAAGTTAAAAATAGAAAAGTAAGTTGAAAACAAAATGTAAATGGGAATCATCTCAGGTAAATTAATCATTTCTGTTGGGCTTTTTGAAATAGTTCAGAGACTGTCATTACCCGGTTTCAAGGAGGCCTAGAGATGCTGGTACCAATATCCTCATCATCGTCCTTCCGGAACCCTGTCACTCAGTAGCTTCGGGTCTCCCATGTCCTCAGGGAGGCTGTCGCAGGGCACTTGCAAGGGTGGCCACCCACCTGCACTGGCCAGCTCAGCCCGCAGCTGGCCCACGTAGTGCAGCAGCTCCTCCAGGCTCTGCTCGCAGTGCTGCCCGTAGGTCAGGAACTTCTGCAGGACCTTGTCCAGCTCTCTCTCCACGCACGCACACTGCTCCATGGTGGCTTCAGCCTGGGAAGGGTCAGCTGGGTCAGGCCCCATCTGGGCCACGGTGGCATGGCAGGCAGGGTGCTCAGACCACCTCTTCAGATCCCTCTCACCATTCCCACATCATGTATCAATGCTCCCTGCTTACCAAAACATAGGTTTTGGTAAGCATGTAACATCCCATCTCCTCACTCCAGTGGAGGATGCAGGCTGGTGTGAGGACGGGGTTTTTCTGAATCATGATGAGAAAATTATTCCATTTTCAACTCTTTTCATGCCTTAATCTTTGTTCATTCCCTTTTAAATCAGAATAGAGAGCAGGCCTCACAGAGCCCTTAGCTGGCAATACTATCTAACTAGAAATCCACATACTGCATAACGTCATATTACACGTATGTATTTTCTTTTTTTGAGACAGGCTCTTGTTCTGTTGCCCTGGCTAGAGTGCAGTGGCACTATCTCAGCTCATGGCAACCTTGACCCCCCAGGCCCAAGGGATTCTCCCACTTTAGCCTCCTGACTAGCTGGGACCACAGGAATGTGCTTCCACACCTGTCTAATTAAAAATTTTTTTTTGTAGAGACGGGGTCTCCCTGTGTTGCCCCGGTTGGTCTCCAACTCCTGGGGCTCAAACAATCTTTCTGCCTTGGCCTCTCAAAGCGCCGGGATTATAGGCATGAGCCACCATGCCTGGCCCATGTGTTTTCGTAGAGTCATTATGGCCACATTCTTACAGTTAAAGGAACTGCTTTTCCATGTACTACAGTAACATAAGCCATAAAGGCCGTCCTTGAGTGGCTGATATTTGGAAACACAGCTTGGGGAATAACTGCCAACCATGCCGGCCTGATGGGCTTGCCTACCACCCCTGCCTCACCCTCACCCGCTGCGCACCTGAGGACAGGCACAGAACCCTTGCTCTCTCATAGCCCTGTGCCCTGGTACATGCTGCTTCCTCACCTGGCCTGCTCTCCATCACCCTTACCTCCTCGACTACTTGAGAGGCTGGCCCATCACTTCTGAGTTAGCTCAGACGTCAGCATCTTCAGCAGCTGTCTCTAGCCTGTGCCCACCTAGCTCCCTCTACTCTCACTTTGCACCCTTCTATTTCAGTTTTGGTCACTGGGCCTGCCTCCCCAACCAGACCAGAACCTCTCTTGCTGCAATACCAGCTTCCCTCCTCATTAGACCATTGAAAGAAAGTTGACTTTTCTTGTCCTGTCTCCTCTCCCTACCACTGGGGCTTCCTTGTCCTTTCTACCCTGGGCCACTGCTCCTTTCCATTTCAGAGCAGCCTTTGACACTGAACATGTGGGCAAATCTCAGAATGTCTGTGACACAGCTGATTTCCTTCCCCATCCTTCCATTTATGAGATTTGAAATGAGAGGGTTCTGTCACATTTCCCTCTGAAAGATTCAAATCTAGCCCATTGCCCATTCTCAAGAAGGGTACGGAGGAACATCAGAAACAGAAAGAGAATCTTATGTCCAAGGTGACCACCAAGATCTTCCCAGTTTCACGGGCTCTCTTCACTCATTCCCACCAGCATGAGTCCCGGCCTCAGCACCTTGGCCCATCTGTAGCCACTGTCACCCAACCTGACAGGGAACAAGTGACAGTGAAATGGCACCCAGGGCCTTGGGGGCTGTGTTTATTCCCTCTTTCCTTACAGCGAATGCTATTACACTGGAATCTATAGTCACGGAGTCCAGAAGCTAAGCCACCCCCGCATCCCCTCTGCACAAACATCCTGCAACTGGATGTGATCCATTATGGCAAAATATAACAGGGTCTCCTATCTGAAATGATGTAATTATTATTATTGCTATTGTTAACAGCTGACATTCCAAATAGGAGCCTGTTCTGTGCTAGGCACTGCTCTAATGACTGCATACATTAATTCGTTTACCTAATGCTCATGAAAACACTATGAGGTAGGTACGATGATTAGACCCACTTTGCAGATGAGAAAATGAGACACAAAGATTAAATCAGTTGCCCAAGGTCAGGCATCTGGGAAGTGGAGGAGCTGGACACTGAAGCCAGACAGTCTGGCTCTGACCTGGGAGTCCTTCTCTAAGTACTTCACATCACAGGCACTCCCAGGACCAGCTTCACAGGCCACTGTTTCACCACGAAAGGAAAGCAGCAAATATCTGTGTTGGAATGAGTGTACAGCAACCATTAATGACGACGAGAAACAGAAAATTAACCACAGAGCTCATGAGAATGATCAACTAGGGAAGACGGCAGGACACTAGAATGTTGGCCAAGAGTGTCTGGGAACTAGAATCACAATTTTTCAAAAATAAACATATCAAACATTTTGATATATTTATCAAAAATAAACATGGCTCAAAAAAGCCAGGACCTCATGAAGGTCAAACAATCCGGCCTGTCAGACCCCAAGAGCTACCAGGCTTATCAAAGGCAAGCTCAAATCAGCATCTTGAAATTGTATTTACTACACTTGATCTTAGCCAAAAGGCAATAAAATTGCCTTTATGAGAAGCAATAAAATTGTATTTACAAAGTTGAGGAAGGAGATGGTACAGGATTGCATTGTGGCAAGGAGTAGGAAACAATCTAGGGACCTCATCACTAGAGGAATCAAGTAAGTAAGTAAAATGTGGGGGATGCATCTCTGGAAACCTGTGGAACATTTAGAAAGTGCGTCCCAAATATACCCAGAGCAACATCAGTAAGATCCACACATGGCACTGAGGTGGAAAAAAATGAGGTCTAGGCAGAATCCATTTATGTAAATTAAAAATATATGCGGCCGGGCATGGTGGCTCACATCTGTAATCCCAGCACTTTGGGAGGTTGAGATGGGAGGATCACGAGGTCAGGAGATCGAGACCATCCTGGCTAACACAGTGAAACCCCGTCTCTACTAAAAAAATACAAAAAATTAGCCGGGTGTGGTGGCGGGCTCCTGTAGTCCCCGCTACTCGGGAGGCTGAGGCAGGAGAGTGATGTGAACCCGGGAGGCGGAGCTTTCAGTGAGCCGAGATTGCACCACTGCACTCCAGCCTGGGAGACAGAGCAGGACTCCGTCTCAAAAAAAAAAAAAAAATTATATATATATATGCATGCATATAGGCCAGGAGCAGTGGCTCGCATCTGTAATCTCAGCATTTTGGGAGGTCAAGGCAGGCAGACTGCTAAGCTCAGGAGTTCGAGACTAGTTTGGGCAACATGGCAGATTTACCTGGGCATGGTGGCACATGCCTGTGGTCCCAGCTACTCAGAAGGCTGAGGTGGGAGGGAGGATTGCTTGAGCCCGGGACATCAAGGCTGCAGTGAGTCATGATTATGCCACTGCACTCCAGCCTGAGCAACAGAGTGAAACCCTGTCTCAAAAAAAACAAAAAGAAGATATACACCAAACACATCAGAATGGTTTCCTGTGGTGAGAAGATGGGGGAAGAATAGGGACAAAAGGGAATATAAATACAAAGGAGAAAAAGGCCCTGCATGGACCAGTAAGTGTCACCCTGAGGAGTGTGATTAACTCAGTACTTTTTTTGTTTGTGTTATTTGGAGACGGTCTTGCTCTGTTGCCCAGGCTGGAGTACAGTGGCACTATCTTGGCTCACTGGCAACCTCCACCTCCCGGGTTCAAGCAATTCTCATGCCTTGGTTTCCCAAGTAGCTGGGATTACAGGTGCGCCACCACACCTGGCTCATTTTTTTTTTTTCATTTTTGTATTTTTAGTAAAGACGGGGTTTCGCCATTTGGGCCAGGCTAGTCTCAAACTCCTAGCCTCAAGTGATCCACCTGCCTCGGCCTCCCAAAGCGCTGGGATTACACGTGTGAGCCAAATCACCTGGCCAAATTTTTAAAAATAAAATAAGTGAACTGAGAAAACAGAACTGTTTGCGGGTATTCTATCCAAAAAATCCAGGAAGTTAATTCAGTCTGTCCAGAGCAAGCCACTCCGCCTGAATCATAGTCAGTCATCTGCACCAGGCACAAGGACTTGTGTTTGTCTTTACAAACTTCATGATTAATAGAAGTACTGATGATTGAAATTTCATGTCCACTGGTCCTAAGCCTTCCTCCCCAAGGTCTCACATATACAGAAATTATCCACCAGGATGACCCTCCGAAACACACACCAGATCCTGTTACCTTGTGCCCAACACTGCCATGGTTGACATATAAGCCCTTTGCAATTACATATTTGCTTCCTTTGCACACGTTGTTCCTATTTTTAGAGCGCCCTCTGCACTTCTTTGTATACAGTACGTAAGCTGTAGTTAAATTATCACCTCCCTTGAGCCCTCAGTGAAATCTCCCTGCCTCTTTTTCTGCTTCATAACCTGGCAGGAGTGGCCATACCACACCCATCTGAGTCCTCAACCACTGCAGCACAGTAACGGCCTGTCCACGTCGGCCTCCCCCATTGGTCTGTGAGCTGCTCAATGGCTGGAGTGCAGTCTTGTCCATTCTCCCGCTCGGTGCCCAGACCAGGGCCTGGTCCATGGCAGATGCTCAGTAAACATTTGTTGATTGGGGCTGGGCGCGGTGGCTCACGCCTGTAATCCCAACACTTTGGGATGCCAAGGCGGGCAGATCATGAGGTCAGGAGATCGAGACCATCCTGGCTAACACAGTGAAACCCCATCTCTACTAAAAAAATACAAAAAATTAGCCGGGCGAGGTGGCGAGAAGGCAAACTCGCCTATTGGTACTTCAGTGAGCCCTGCTCGATTGGTGCCGTGGGACGTCGCAGTCCCCGTCCGTTCCATTCTCGTAATCACAAACCGCTCGGGCCCCACGTACCAGGTGCTCTTGTGCCAGAGTCGGCAGACCGATACCTCATACATAAGAGCGACTGATTGTTGTATCCACTTCTGGTTGGAGCAGCGCTTGGGCGGTGGGTTTCTATCCAGGCCATGGTAATCCCAGACACTTACTGCGGATGACGACGCGGCGCAGATCATGAGGTCAGTGAGATCAGAGACCGGATCACTGGCTAACACAGTGAAACCGCGCGCATCTCTACTAAACACATGGTTACAAAAATACTAGCCCGGGGCGACGGTGGCGGGGCGCCTGTAGTCCCAGCTACTCGGGAGGAGGTGGATGGAGCAGGAGATGGCGTGAACCCTGGAGGCCACATATGCCATGTCGAGACCGAAGATACTACACAACACTGCACTCCAGCAGGGTTTACGTGGGCTGGAAGACAGTGCAGACTCCATTCAAAAAAAAAGTAAAATTTGTTAAATCCCACACGGGTGCAGTGGCTCATGCTGTGTATTCCAGCAACTGGGAGGCTGAGGCAGGTGGCTCACCTGAGGTCAAGAGTTTGGACCAGCCTGAGCAACATGGGGTAACCTCAGTTTCTACTAAAAATACAAATTACCCAGGTGTGGTGGCGCGCCGCGCTTGTATCCCAGCTATCAGGTGCAGGCAGGAACAATCGCTTGAACCGGGAGGGTCGGAGGTGCAGGGAGCCAACCACAATATTGCACTCACGTGGGCAAGCAGCACTTCGTCACAACAACCATTTTGCCTGCATTCACTGCACACTCTTTATCCACTTGCTCACAGAGACCTGAGCTCCATTCGCGGAAACGTGTAGGAGTGGGTAGACAGAGACATGTAGTGAAATAATTTAAATCTCCATGTAGGCCACTGCATGGAGGTTTATATCCTGGAGTATGTGCATCCCCGAAACAAGGGGCTCCTGCGCAGGGAGAAAAGAAGTTTGAGCAAATCACAAACGTCCCCTTTTGCCTGACAAGATTAGACAACCTCCATTGACTCAATTCTTAATGCTTTTTTTTTTTTTTTTGAGGCAGGGTCCCTCTTCCGTTCATAGGGTTGCTTAAAAATTAAAAAAAAAAAAAAAAAAAACAAGGAGAAGAGAGACAGGGTCTCAATCTGTTGCCCAGGCCAGAGTGCTATGGTACAACAGGGCTCGCTGCAGCCCTCGACCTCCTGGGCTCAAGTGATCCTCTCCACCTCAGCCCCCCACCCCAAGAAGCTGGCACTACAAGTGCACCATGTCCCCCCATGAACACTCCTGAGTTTATGACACATTTAATTGGTCCATGGCAGGGCTTTTCTCCTTTGGTTTAATTTTATGTATTCCCTTTTGTCCCTATTCTTCCCTCCCTCGCCCACCCACACCTGGCTAATTTTTTTGTTGTTTGTTTTTGAGATGGAGTCTCGTGGCATGATCTTGGCTCATGCAACTTCGCTTCCCAGTTTCAAGCGATTCTCCTGCCTCAGTCTCCTAAGTAGCTGGAATTACAGGCACCTGCCACCAGACCTATTTTTTGTATTTTTAGTAGAGATGGGGTTTCACCACTTGCCAGGCGTGGTCTTGAACTCCTTGGCCTCAAGTGATCCTCACCGCCTCGCCTTCCAAATGTTGGGGTTACAAGCGTGAGCACTCGCGTCAGGCCTAATTTTTC